TAATTAAAACATTATTATTATCATTATTTCCCTGCTCCCCCCTTCCCCCGATCGATAATTAAAACAAACGTGAAATCGAGTTTTTCGTTCGAGTATCAACTTATTCGTGTACTACCTGACACCTCGTAAATGACGTAAAAGACGATATTCACCTGCCTACACAACAACCAACAACAACCAACCAACCGTTGTCCACCCACCGATTCCTACATCTTTTCTCTCTCTCTCTCTCTCTCTCTTTGAGTTACCACCCCGTTGTAAAAAAAGGAAATTAATTTATTTACTTTTCTTTACTCTCCCGACGTAATAAGAGCTCAACAAATGAATCCCCCCCTCCTTACGAGAGAGAGAGAGAGAGAGATATAACACGATGATAATAATAATTCATTATGAAGCAGCTGACACGAACATGATAAGTATGCATAAGTGATTGATGTCCGTCTAAAACGATTTTTTCCTTTTTGTTGTTGTTGTTGTTGTGTTTGTTCACGCTTTAAAAACAGGTACATGCGCACGCACGCACACACACACGCTTGTACTAACAACCTAATTGATTATTAAGATTTTCTTCGGTGACGAACGACTCGACACGCCGCCACCAAAATATGTTTTAACGTTCGCATGTGCAAACTCTCTTTCTCTCTCTTTTCATAAAAATTTTCGATGGGAAGAAAGAGAAAAAGAAAGAGAAATTAAATAAAAGACGAAGACGATTGAATTTCATGTGAAAAAATTATTCCGTCGCGGAGAAAGGGAGAGAGAGAGAGAGAAAGTAATAATATATCAAAGTCATTTAAATAATTTGATATCCGTGTATATAAACGAACCTGAAAACGAATGAAAAACAAACAAACAAACAAACAAACAAAATAAATTTTTACCCGTCGATTAAAAGAGAGTGAGAAAGAGAGAGAGAGAGGGGCTGAAAATTATTCGATTGGGATTTGTTTTGGCTATTAATGAATAATAAAAAAGTGACTGGAAGTGAGAAAAAAAATTGCTGAAGAAAAATCAAAAAAGGAGAAGAAGAAGATGAAGAAGGAGAAGAAGGAGATGATGAAGAAGGAGAATAAGTGTTGAAGAATATCGATGACAGGCACTCGAGGGCTTCGACTACAATTTCTGATAACGTGACGTGAAAGATTAAAAAAAATTCTTTTTGGAAAAAGGGCGAAATTTTCCTCGTCGTGGAACTAATTTTCTCTCTCTCTCTCTTCCTCCCTATCTCTTTCTCTTTCTCTCTCTCTCTTCCTCTCTTTCGCTCTTTTTCTCTCTCTCTCTCTCTCTCTCTCTTCCTCTCTTTCGCTCTTTTTCTCTCTCTCTCTCTCTCTCTTCCTCTCTTTCGCTCTTTTTTTCTCTCTCTCCCTCTCTCTCTTCCTCTCTTTCGCTCTTTTTCTCTCTCTCTTCCTCTCTTTCGCTCTTTCTCTCTCTCTCTTCCTCTCTTTCGCTCTTTTTCTCCCTCTCTCTCTTCCTCTCTTTCGCTCTTTTTCTCTCTCTCTCTCTCTTCCTCTCTTTCTTCCTCTCACTCTCTCGCTCTCTCTTTCACTTCTTCTCTTTTCCTTCTCCTTACCTGTAAGTGTTCGAGTAATCCGGTGGCACTATCAAATTGTACGGAGCATGCGTTCCACCTGCAGGAAATGCTTTCCCTCGAGGTCCTGTGTTTATCCACCCTGTTGCTGTGACACGTTGCCGGAAACCTTATCGTTTTCGGTACGGATAATATCGGAGGATTCGATTCCTTCGATCCTATCGCATTCGCTTTTTCTTCTTCCACGGTTTTTGAGATCACATCATTGTTCGTTACATTTGAAACAACTACAACGTTTAACAAATTCGAATCTAATTCTTTATTATTATTATTATTAATGTTATTAATGTTATAGTTATTTCTTGTACTACTAGAATCATATGGCGCGTGATTTTGTACGGTTCCATCCGTTTCCGGTGTCGGTTTCCCCGTCGGCTTGAGCACCGTCCTGCATTTTAAGTAACTCTCCGCGAGTTTGCTCCGATTCTTGTGATTTTGTAATATCTTATTGAAAAGCGTTTTCGTTTCCGCGGGTTTGCTCAAAAGGAAATCCGCGGCTCGTGGCAAGTTCGAAAGCTGCGAAAACAATCGGCTCGGCTCCGTCAAAGGCATTATGGTGTGAAGTGGGGGGGATTGTTTGGACGAGGGTTTCGCGAAAACGGGAACTTCTTGCGGGGCTCCCTGTTTATCCTCTTGCACGACTTTGACGATTTTTTTCAACGGCGGTTCTTCCAGGTTTTCCGTTCCCGACACCAATTTCGATTTGCTCCCATTTCCCGTCGCGTCTTTCTTCGTCAAACCGAAATCTCTTTTCGATCCCACGAGTGATTTTATCTGAGATTTAAAATATTCCGTTATTTTACCCTGATGTCGACTCCTGTCGTTTTTAGGTTTCGTCGACACGGATCCGACTCCGAATTTCTCACACGATCCTCCTTTCACGATTCCATTTTTAATTATTATTATCTTATTACCACCATTGTCGGTACTTTCCTTCGTGGCACTTTTTCCGCTATCGTAACTCGACCTTCTCTTTTTCACTTTCGGACCCTCACAATTATCGTTTCTGCTCTTCTTCTTATTGTTCTTATCGATGACACGTTCGTCGTGTTCAATTTCACTAAGAATCGGACTAGGGACTTTAACTACGTTATTATTATTATTATTATTATTATTTAATGGAGGATGAGAAGGTATCGACTCGTTCACGTCGTCGACGTTCAGTCTTTTGTTGATAATAATGGCTTTGCTATCAGATTTATTAAAATGGGCAGTGTTGTCATTGGCAGTGTTGTTTCCCTTTATCGAAGTCCATATGTCACAGGGAGACGATGCCGAGGGCACGTTTGGAGCCATTTTAAAATCAGTCTCAGACGCGTTTTTTATTAAATTATTCTCAGTCTTCTTATTGCAGCATTTTTGCTCCTCATTTTCCTCCGGCTTTTTCTTCTTTTTCTTCTCCCACTGTGTGTCTCCCTCTGTCGTCTTCGTCCAAATTTTCTCTTCGCTCCTGCATCTCTCAGTCGGTGGTTCCGACCAAGATAATTCTGATTTCTCTTCGCTTTGACTCCTTTTTTCAATTATTTTACACTTTCCCGGTGAACTCGTCGAATCGTCACTCGACGTGCTGAACGGAGAACCCGGGTCGGTGATGTCACTTGTTCCGGAAGAAGCGCTACTCGATACGGCTATCCCACTGTAACAATCAAAAGAAACAAAACAAAAAATTAAAATCTTTTCGCAACAAACAAACAAACAAACAAACGAATAAACAAAAATTTCAATTTAAAAAACCAAAACATTTCCGAAACGGTCAATTAAATTATTATTATTTTACCGCCAAATTTTCTTATCCTCAATCCAATCACGGACTCCAATAACAGTAATAATAATAATAATAATAACATTATTCATATACACAGTTTCATTTCATTTTTTTTTTTTAAATTAAATTTGGGTCACGACGACGACGAAATTAATGCATCGAATACAACAGAATAAATTCAATTCATTTTTACTGCCAAGTTTTTTATTAACGAGGGGGTGAGGGGCAGAAGGAGATCTTCGAACTAGCATGTATGCACTCACGCACATAGGCACACGCACACGCACCATTTTTAAACGCACAAGTGAATTCATTACGTCACCGTGGCATTGTTTTGTATGAGATGGGCACAAACAACATTTTCCTACCCGATAACTCATAAGTTTTCACCTCAAGGTCACGCATATTGAGTTCAAACCATTTTCCAGCGGTGTCCTTATCAACGGGACCATCAGGGTATCATCATCATCATCATCATCATCATCATCATCATCATCATCATCATTACTATTTTTTTTCGGTTCGACCATAACAATCCGTTCGAACATAATATTATCAACAGGTAAATTTTTTTGTTGAAATTTTAAAAATAAAATAATGCGTCTTCTGCTTGAGCCAAAACGATAGAATAAAAGAAAAAAAAAAAAACAAACGTGGAAGAAGAAAAATCCTTCGTACGAAGGATCAAAGGAAATACAACAGAGAGAGAGAGAGACGAAGAGGAAGAGAGAGAGAGAGAGAGACGGAGAGGAAGAGAGAGAGAGAGACGGAGAGGAAGAGAGAGAGAGAGACGGAGAGGAAGAGAGAGAGAGAGAGACGAAGAGGAAGAGAGAGAGACGGAGAGGAAGAGAGAGAGAGAGACGAAGAGGAAGAGAGAGAGAGAGACGGAGAGGAAGAGAGAGAGAGAGACGGAGAGGAAGAGAGAGAGAGACGGAGAGGAAGAGAGAGAGAGAGAGACGGAGAGGAAGAGAGAGAGAGAGAGAGACGGAGAGGAAGAGAGAGAGAGAGACGGAGAGGAAGAGAGAGAGAGAGACGGAGAGGAAGAGAGAGAGAGACGGAGAGGAAGAGAGAGAGAGAGAGACGGAGAGGAAGAGAGAGAGAGAGAGACGGAGAGGAAGAGAGAGAGAGAGACGGAGAGGAAGAGAGAGAGAGAGACGGAGAGGAAGAGAGAGAGAGAGAGAGAGGAAGAGAGAGAGGAAGAGAGAGAGAGGAAGAGAGAGAGAGGAAGAGAGAGAGAGGAAGAGAGAGAGAGAGACGGAGAGGAAGAGAGAGACGGAGAGGAAGAGAGAGAGAGAGAGGAAGAGAGAGAGGAAGAGAGAGAGAGAGACGGAGAGGAAGAGAGAGACGGAGAGGAAGAGAGAGAGAGAGAGAGAGAGAGAGAGAGGAAGAGAGAGAGGAAGAGAGAGAGAGAGAGAGAGAGAGAGTGAAAATTTTGCAATTTAATTTATATTTTAATAATTAATTTATGTAAAAAACTTTATACAATAATGATAATAATACTGATGATAATGATAATTTTTTGTCACGGTTCGGCAAATTCGAAAAATCCTCCTTCCCTCCCTCCTTCCCCCCTTTTTTTAAATTCTTCCTCTTTAGATTTCTTTTAAAAAGTTTAAAAAACGCATTCGTAGGAAAATGTACCACCCCCCACCATCAACCCTGACATGTACATCCCTTCATCGCTCTTTTTCTCTCTCTCTCTCTCTCTCTTCCTCTCTTTCGCTCTTTTTCTCTCTCTCTCTATACCACAGTCGTTTTCCTTCCGTTCTCCCCATGCCTTCGCCCCCGCTTCGCCTCCCCCCATCCTGCCTCGTCCAAATACATTATTTAAATTATGACCACGGTGACTCTTCGGAGTTTGAATTCCAAATATGTCTCCGGTCGTTTGGCGAATTTTAACTTTTATGGAGGAGGAGGAAAAAGAAGAGAAAAAAAAAACCGTTCGGTTTGTGTTTGTTCGACAATAAAATTCTCCCTGCCCTGCTCCAGACGCAACACAAACGTCTTGCATGGTCAGTTTTTTTAACGGCCTCATTTTTTTTTTTTTTTTTTTTGTAAGTCGAGCCAAACTCGAATTTTGTTCGGACCGTTTGCAATGTGACCGAAATACAAAATAATACTAATAATAATAACGATATGTTTCTCATTTTTTTTTGTTTCAAAACTTTTTTTCCGGGCGTTTTCATCGCCATCAAACTTCGCCTACAAAATTCAGGTGAAATGGCGATCAACGAATCGAATCACGTACAACGTTCGGTCCGGGATTTTCTTTTTTTTTCGGACGAACCCCCCTCTCGGAAAAATCGAAACCTCCCCATCCCCTTTCCAGGGGAGGGGGGAAAAGAATAAATTTGACATCTCGCGAGTTTAACCGTTCCCTGGGTCAAGTTCAAATCTCAAAATGTATATACAATTACGACTCCTTCGAGCTTTGTTGTATTGTTCTTCGAACGCCATTTTTTTTTTTTTCATCGTGGCAGTAGCTCTTACCATTTTGTTATAAGTAAAAAAAAAAAAAAAAAAAAAAAAATCATTAAAAATATTCGGTACACGGTCGGGTGATCTACAACCACCGCCGCCGCCGCCACCACCACCGACGAGATGCACGCGTCAAAGTTGTTTAAGCCCTTCTCACACTCACAACCTAGAGATTATTGATGTAATTTAAAATAAAAATCACATTTAAATCCTTTAAATACATACAAATAACTTAACAAACGAGTTCATTTACATTTGGCTACGACGCTAGCGACACGCATCGTAAGCGGTGGCAAACTGTATCAGAGGTTATCTAATCGTTACGGAAACGGCGAAAGAGAGAGAGAAATAGAGAGTGAGCGAGTGTGTGAGAGTGAGTGAGAGAGTGAGAGAGTAAAGATGGAAATGCAATTACGGAGAAGATAACCGACGAATTTGTTTTTGTTTTGTTTTTTTTCTCTCTCTCTCTCTCTCCATATTTTTATTTTTTTTTTCCACGTTCTGGATATGAATAATCACGTGCGTGCGTGCGTACGATTACGATCGCTTACGAACAAACGAACGTTTTTTTAACAGAAGAAAAAACATTGAAAGCAGAAGAAAATTATTTTTTCGAACGAAATACACACGACTGTACTTTAATTTATCGCGTGAAAAAAAAAAAAAAAAATTCTGTTTAATATCCGGGAGTTAGACTTTAATGACCATTTTGTAATAAAAAAAAAAGCATCGATAGAGAGAGGGGGGAAGGGGGGGAAAGGAAAAAAGAAAAAGCAAAACCACGGCGACGACACGTTCGCTTAGTTTGCAAAAACAAACAAACGACAACCCAACTAAGGGCATTTCCGATAAAAATTAACAAAAAAAAGAAAAGTAATAAAAATCAAAACGATTTTCCGAATAAGTCCGACAATAAAAAACCATAAAACAAAAAGTGAAACACGCACACGCACACGCACACGCACACAAAGAGAGAGAGAGAGAGAGAGAGAGCTTTATTTCAAAATGTCATCGAGATATCGAAAACAAGAACAATTTGACGAAACCGATTTTTTTTTATTATTAACAACGATGGCAAAAATCTACGGGGGAAAAAAAATAAGAGGTACTCGGGTGTATCGAACCAAAAAGAAAAAAAGGATAAGAACGACAACAACAACAACAACGGCAACAACAACCACGAGAAGAAGAAAACATGGGCGCGTGCGAAGAATAAAAAAAAAAACTCAAGGCAAAAATGAAAGACCAACTTGAAGAAGTCAGGATGCGGCCTACAAGATTACAACCGAATGTCAAGATTATTCGAAACCGCCTCATGCCGCCCCGCCGCCGACGACGACGACGACGACGCCGCCGCCTTTCCCTCGAGCAAAACTATAAAGTTTAAAATTTTCTTTAATAACTCTAATAAAAAAAAACTCGCGGATAACCATCGTCCATCATTTCATTCTTCCCCGTCAATCATTTGTACACGATAAGAAAAAGGTCATCGATGGAAACGTGTAAGAAGAAAATCGATGAACATATGTAGGGAGGAGGAGGAGGAGGAGGAGGATACGCATCGCGAAAGGGTTGTGAAAAACGCCGACAACCTTTTTACACATCCCCATCCCATTTCATCTTCCCCTTATATTGACTTATCCTATTTTTATTTCTTTAGGGTTTCACAGCATCAGCAGCAAAGAGATGAATGTAATTTAAAAAGAGATGAAAGCGAAATAAGTTAAATAATAATAATAATAATCGAAAAGAACGAGATGAGATGCGTGTGCGTGTGTGTGTGTGTGTGACTCAGTGTAGTATGTGGGGGACTAGGTCTGTCATGACGTCAGTCATTAGCCACTTTTTATAAGGGTGAAAAGCCTACTTTTCAAACTATTGATTATCAAACAAAAAAAAGGGTGATGATAACAGATTCGTAAGGGATGCTGCGACCCAATATGAGGACCAACCAACCAACCAATCAACCAACTTAACAAACACGCTTTCATTTTATTTCTTTACGAAACATTTTTTTTTTTTGTTATAACTAACAAAACATCATCTCGCCATTATTCTTCTACACCCTCCCCTCCCCTCATCACGTCACTTCCCATTTCGACATTAATCGAATTTCTCATTAGTATAATTCGTACGAATTTTTTTTTAAAAAAACCAAAATCCACACACACACACACCGCGCCATGTTGAATTTAAAAAAACGCCGTTTTTTGTTTCTTTTTAACCTCAAGCGGTTTCTCTCCATCTCTCTCTCTCTCACTCTTTCTAAATTCCAATTAAAATTATGAATCGGATTAATAAGTCAAAGAAAAGACTGGAGAATTTTTTTTAAAAAAAAGTTGAAAATTAAAAATGGCGGTTTTACGGTTTCGGTTAACGATTATTTGCAAAGCTTTTTTCATTTAAAAAAAAAAAAAATCAACAATAATAATAATAATAAATATTTCAAAGGCTCCCGTGCTGGACCGCAGCTGCCGTATGTGTAATAATAATAATAATAAACAATAAAAATTACTAAAAATTTCCTTTGATTTCATAGATGGATGACGATTCGACGCCATTTTGTAATAAAAAAAATACTACTACATTGCCGAAAAAGAGAGAAAGAGAAAGAGAGAGAAAGAGAGAGAGAGAGAGAAAAGATAACTGGAAGTAATTTACGATAATTAGATTTAACAAAGTAATTTTAAAGAAAAAAAAAAAAGTAAAGAAAAGAAAAAATGGCGGCGTCGCACGTCACGTGTTTCTTCTTCTTTTTAACATTTCGGACGAATTCAACGGGAAAACTAAGGAAAAAATTTATGAGCTTTTAAAATTCGGGATAATACTAATGATAATGATAATGATACTAGGAAATCATTTTTTTTTTTTTACTCCGTCGTCGTTTTCTGTCGTCATTGTCGTCGTCACTGTCGTTGATCCTTCAGTACCACGTCGAACGAAATTTTTCCCACAAATGCGAAACGACCATTTC